TTTCCGGGGTGCCTTGATAGTCGAAGCTTGATTCCCCATTTGGACTTCTCTGTTGACATCCACCCCTTGTCGCTCATATCACCTATGCTGTTGTGAGCGCCGTAAAAACCTTACTAAAACTAAATCTAGCTGCGAGCAACCTTGTGATTGTCTGTCAATCCTCCATTTTGTCGATTGGACTTTGTTGTGTGTTCTTTTTGTTCCATATGTTATGTAATAATAATATATATGTTATTGAATGCGCAAATTAACTCCCTTTTTCGAGCTGGTGTGGGGCTTGATTTGCTGGGTAGTAAATTTTTTTCAAGGTAGTAAATTTTTTCAGGAAATATTGCTGGACACCCTGCCTTTTATAATGGATTTCTTCTATTTCTAAAAATAGAAGTTAAATCCTCCCTTTTGGATGTAGCCTTGGTAAAGGTCTGTGGAGGTAAAGTTTATACAATAAATGATTAAATGTATGGTTTTTGTTGTTTAATGCTTCTCAAAAGGATATATCTGAAATTCTCTGAAGTTTTCTTATCAAATTATTGACCGTAAAAAAAACCATAGGTACATTAGGATAGTGTTGTTCTCAGTAAATCCTGTATCAAATTGTTTATCAAGAAAAGTTAATTAGTTTATGTACAGTGCCAAATATCAGTCTAAATAGATTTTTTTTTTTAACTTAGTCCTTCGAAAAATCAGGATGCGTTGAACCGGTTTTTGTTGTATTTCCCTCAAACACCTTGTACAAAACAAATGTGCGTAATCTTTTGCCGTCAGACACAGAATTTATTATTGCATAAGACGAGGCGTCACTTTTCGCCAGATTCTGCTACTTTTAGTTAGCGTGACTAAGCAGCCTGCCGGAGCTGAAAAATTAGGAATTTCTGGAGTTAATGAGCCCAGAAGTGACTTTGGCGGTGCCAGTTAAGAAGTTCGCCTTTTTGTCTACGTTTGTAACGATATAACTTCTTCCCCATTCCACGCAGCAAACCATTACGCTGATGTACTAAAACCTCAATATCTTGAGATTTATTCTGCGTTAGAAAATTTCTGTGCCTTTGTTTTTGTTGTAGACAAGTCTTAGTGTTTGTAGAGTATCCAATTTGTCCTATTTTAGTTACATACTTTTGAATAAATTATCGTTTATTTAAAAACGGCACAACAGATCTCTCTAAAATCTGTGTTAAACTAACTACGAATATCATGTCTTTTAGCATGAGAAATCTTTGATCTATACAAGTAGTAACAATCAAGTTATAAGAGAAGAAAGATGCACATCTGCATTTTTTAACTAAAGACACTCAATATTAGTAGCTCTTGTTTTACCATTAAACAAGATCTGAAAGTTACTCTGCGTTTGTTCATGAATCATGCTGTGTCTGTGGCAGTCTGCATTCAACTAAGAAAGATATATTATGCGATTAAAAAAAAACACAAAACTGTAAATACATGGATAGAGATGAACTTCTTGTATAGAATAAAAGCAGGAAAAGTCTGGTGCTGATTCAATGTCACTGGAAAGCTAGAAATTATTCTTATAACCCAAAAACGAAAAGTCATCCCTGTTGTTCAGTCAACTTACAAAACCTAGACTTAACGTTTTAAGAAAAATAAGGAATTTCTGGAGTGTAACAAATACGTGCATTACATTGTAACATTCTGGCACTAAAATCGATTTGTACTTTTTCATAGAGAGACTTCAGGGTAATTTTGATAAACTTTTGAGAAAATATGATGCGAATATTCATGATTATATTAGACACATTAAGTTGTATGTGGAGGAATTACTTCTTTTCGGAGTATCTGAACCAATGTTATGTCGTTTATTTTCCAAACGTTTGACAGTTTTTGTCGTGCCGTATTTTTTATATTAATTTTTTAAAGATTCACAGTTTTACAGTTTAGCATTGCCGACTTCAGTGCGTCTAATGAAATAACCAGACAAGTTACAATGTCCGTTCTTTTTTTGAGTCTCAAGAGCAGAAATTCGTGCTTTGGGTGCATTAAATGATAATGACCATAAATACAAGGATACACCTAAAACTGCACTTTGAAAAGTACCTAAAATTAAGTCAGCCGAGACAGAGCGGCGACAGGGAGCTGACCCCCCATGACCCTGACGTGATAAGGCGCTAAAATTCCACTGCCGATGGATGCACCATGAAGAATGGGAACATATTTTGGACCCTTTCAAAATGCTGAAAAAATTATACTGAGATTTTTTACAAAATGTCTGCATACATACTGGTTCTTGAAGGCATTGCATGGTGTTGTACAAAAAACTTACTGTTCAGAACACAGAGAGAGAGAGTGGTTTTTTTTCATGTGTATGGCAAGTGAAACTTCCTAAAGTTTTCCTTTTGTTAAATTTGAGCAAACATATTGCTCTTGTGACTTTCAGTTGAGGGGGTTGTCAAGTGTTACATTGTCTACTTTTGTTAGTATCTCTTCCTTGCTTGTGAAAATTTGTGACCTTCTAAGGTTGATATGGAAAAACATCATATCAAGAAAGTGAGCCCGTAGGATTCTTAAGTGTTCAGTATAACATTCACACAAAAATTGGTCCATTATTTTTTTAATGAATATATATCTCACAGATTTCTCATGTTTTGTTTGTGTGTGTATCTGGTCCATGGATATTGCATTGTGTGTGCATCTATATGTGAGATATGCTGACAAAATGAGTTACTTTTCACGATCCAACAATGGAGATATCGGCTGAAAATCGACACTGGGTTCAGATTTATAGATTTTCAATTGATGCCATTTTGTTCAAGTTTACTCTGTCTTTTACTATTCCATACTTACAAATTGTACAAACTTCACTTATAAAGTTGATGTATCAATTTCCATAATGCTAAAATCCGAGAAGTAACTAATTTTATTAGCACTCCTCACATATGTAGATCTATAAATATCATAAGTTTTTCTCATGTTTTATTTGTGTGTGTATCTTATGTTTTGATCCATATACAGGGTGACTTTGAAAAAAATGTGTCAAAAAGGTCACTGATAAAACCATTATGAATAGGCGTATAACCACCAAAGATCACAGAAACGTGAAACATCAGTCGGGATTTATAATTACAATTAGATTGCAGCTACAAAATTATAAGATATGTTTCTGATACCTCTCATTTTAAGTAATGCTCATTCTGACCTGCTAAGTGAAATTGACAGTGGGTGGTTGGTGGGTGCTCTAGTGTGGTTTGCTTTTTCTGTCCTATCAAACATCTATTGTCTTTATCTCTCCTCCTTTTTTTGTGTGTTTGTTACTCTCTTGCAACACCTAATCTTCAGCACTTATATGACCTTATTTTGTTGCAAGTGCAGTAAAACACTTACTAAAACTGAACTGAAATTGACAGTCACACTTGGGCACTGGTTGGGGGACATCTCTCTCATAATGAGGACATCTCATTAGTCCTGAATACCTCTGAAGATTTTCCCACTCAGTTTAGTCCCTCAAGTACCCAAAAAAAGTGAAAGTCGAGTGGATTCAGTTCTGAACAGTTTTGGGCCAAGTTGTACTCAGTCCCACAGCTGACTGTCCAGTAACCAAAATGTTTGCTGAAAGTTTTGGTTTTTTCTCTCTTCAACCCCAACAAATAGTCCCAAGCTTTTCAAGAATTTTGGTAGGATGATGAGGTAATGGTCAGAGTTCACTGTAATGAAATGCTGGTTCCATGGAATGGCCTTGATAGGCCATCACTGCCCACTCTGTAACCTGCCGATTATGCAGGCCTTTCTCATAAACTTTGTCAATCTTTGCTGTTCCCCAATCAACTTAGTTTTTACTATTCACATAGCCATTGATGTTGAAATGGACCTCATCAGAGAGCCAGAGCTGCTGGATGCAGCTGATAAATCTGAAGGTTTTTTCATGTTCTCTTTGTGTATGCCTCTTGTATGGTCTTCTCATGTTTTGTGTGTGTGTGTGTATCTTTGTGTTGATCCATATGGTAAAGTTTTCTCATGTTTTGTTTGTTTGGTCAGTCCTTGAAAGTGGTGAGGGCCTCCAGCTTCATGCCCTATGTGGTCTTTGTGAGGCCGCCCAATCTGGACAAGCTTCGGCAGTTGCAGGACCAGCTAGACAAAGCCAGACCTCTGGTGAGTACCGGTGTTAGTTTTTTACAGGGAGCTTTTAAGCTTTAGTGACTGCTTTCTATTCATGTGTTGTTGTTGTTGTCGTTATCGATCCAGTAACAGCTGGGCTTTCGCCCTTCTGTCCAATGCCATGTAGTGATAAGTTCAGGTTTGCTTCTGCTGCTGTGATGTTCCATAGAGGGTGTTGTCAATGTTAGGTCTCGGAGGGAGAAGGGTACTACTCATGTGTGAGATCTCTTATTAAACCTATCAGAAGGTGCAGAAGGTTATGATTTTTTAATGATTTTTTTTTAGGGGGCTCTCGTGGCCTAGAGGTTAAGGTGTTGGCCTCTCATTCAAAAGGTCTCGGGTTCGAATCCGGGTAGCGACCAAAAAATGTTCTTCTCTAAATTTGTTTCCTTTCACCTCATTTCCTGCCCTCTGGCAATGTTCTGTCGTCTGCTTTCGTCTCCTCTTTCTGCCCCCACCCCCTCACCTCCTTTGCCCCTTCCTCTGGGCTTCTGAATCTTTCTGCAGCCTTTCTACTGCTACGCTTTCGCTTCTTCTTACTGCTGTCTTTCAGCCACACCCCTGATCTTCTGGTAGGAAAGATCTACACCTAGCTTTCTCGGACAAGGGTGAAAAATCTCGGAGGGCCCATGTGCAAGTTGCGCACGTTAAAGATCCTTTGGTGGTCTAAAATCGATAAGAGTAGGCTTCGGCCGCCACCCGGGCAATATTCAAAATTTCCTACCAACTGAAAATATTAGGTGTGTCCCGCGCGCTCATATGACCTTATGCAGTTGCAAGTGCCGTAAAACACTTTACAAAAACAAAACAGGCTTTGATTTTTAGAGCACTTGTGGGATCAACTTGGTCACCATGAGCACTGCAAGGGAGGGTCTGGACAGTGACTCAGCTTAAAGAATCACTGAATGAAGAGGATTTTGATATTCTACAGGCATTTATTGCTATGCTTATTGGTTCCATTCATGGATGAATTACACAGCTGAAGGAGGTCGTGCACGATATCAGTGGAAGTACTCTAATCCTCTCAATGTAACTTAATAAAATTAAGCCGAAAGCTGATTGTTGCCATTTGATTGTTTATTGATTTTTTAACATTTCAAATGTTTATTGCTTTCATTTCCCTTTGTGTTTTCAACTTCTCTACCATTCCTGTTTGATTATGAAAGCAACATTGTTTTGACCGTCAGTGAAATATGTGCGTCAAATTCTCACCACTTCTTGTTTTGCTTTTGAAACATTGAAAAGAAATATTGAATTATCTGAATTCAGATATTTCTTGATTTGAAATTGAACTTCCTTAATTTTGGTGCAAAATTTATTACCTTTCTGTACATATGTTAGAACTCGTAGTTATTTAAAAACTAGCTGGTTACTATTGTTGCTCAGTAAAAAAGAGTCATTGCTTTTTTTATCAGACTATTTTCACTTCACTTGTTGGACAGCCCTTGCAGCTTGTGTGTTGTTTCATGTCATGGCAGGGAGGGGGGGCTGCATGACTCTAAAAGTGGTCTTTTTGTTATTATAGTGGAACTCGGATTCAACGAGGTTGCCGGGCTGATCTAAAATCTCGTTCAATCTAAGTGTTCGTGACAGGGCTGCCTGAATCTACCGATTTTCCCGGTAGTTACTGAATTTTGGCCTGTTCTACCGCCATACCGATAAAGGTGTCAAAACTACCAGATTTGGGATGGGTGCCGAGAGAAGAAAAATAAAGCCAGTTCTGCAGTGCTTTCAATTTTCCGTTTTTGCGGAAATCCGTACTTTCCGGAAAGGTCTGTAGTTGGCGCATCATCATATCAACTCCATGCGTTAGAGAGAGAGAGAGAGAGAATTAGCTTATTTGTCAGCATTCAGTAGCAATGGTGCACAAAGTCCTCGAAACCAAATCTGAAAAGGCCACCGAGTTCATGTTTTACCAGTCGCGTTTGAGATATTATATTCGGCTTTCTTCGGTCCGAGAGTACGTTTCTCGCGAATAAGTGGCAATGACGGCAGGCGGTAGGCATAGTGTAGGTGTAATACCGAGGCTCCATCGGGAAAATCAAAATCTACTTTCGCTTTTGTTACCGCCCCGAATTTGTCCTATGATTGCTTTTTAACATTAGAAACAGTGTCGCCATACAAATAAAATCAATATTCTCACTGCTGTCACTATAATGAAAAAAGAAAGAAAGAAAAAGAAAACATGTGTCCTCTGATTTCTAAATTGTCGGGCTCGTGATCGTGACTGGTCAGTGAACCTGTGCGCGTTCACATGGTGTGAAAATGAGTACCGCACGAGTAAGAGACCGGTAATTGTTGGGGTCTTCCAAGTTCAAAGTAGGAGCGTTGGAGGGCTTCAGATTTGGAAGAGGAGGGGGGGAGGTGCTTGATGCAAAACAGTCTGCGGCAGCAGGATAAGACGTCGATGCAAGAAACTGATGCTAAAATAAAAGTGATATGTGAAAGTGGTGGTGCTCTTATGTTTTGACATTCGACTATTGAGTGTGTAAATGAGGGAACATTAGAGTACTGGTTTGGTGATTATTGTTCCCGGATTTGCTGGATTTGTCAGTGATGTGATGACACGTTGAATGGGAGCAATGAAGAAATGCCATTTTCTACTCTCGGGAAAACTGTAAATGTCTATTTTTTGGGGGGCTTCGCCCCGGACACCCATATATGCCTTGTTGGGGGTCTATCCTGGAGGAAAAAAAGAAAAAAAGATCTTTTTCAGTTGTATTTGAACTTGCTGGAGGATAAGATCTGGAAACTAATTTTTATGATTAGAGTGCACTGTGGGGCATAGCGCCCCTGTGTTGGATGCCTATGCATCATGATGACTTGTTACTGATTAAAACTGGTTCTGTGATTTAGAAATTCGAACCCCCCCCCCAAACAATACTTAATCCATGATGCAGTGATTCCCAGGTTTTCAGCATCACTACATCCCACGCCCTCTGTCCTTCCAGTTCTGGCTCTCAGTACATGATGTCGCTTTTTGCTCTGCCATGAGCCTAACTATAAAGATTTTCTTTAAATAAGTTTTGTCTTGCATACTTTTTAAAATCTGTGATTGCTGAAACCAAAAATGGTTTTGAAAGTTGATGTTCTGGCCTCTCCACAGGCCCAGATACATGTTGTATTTTTAGAGCAAAACTTGTTAAAACTGTCTTTCTTACCTAAGTTACACAGGACTTTCAGTGCCCTATGCTAATGTCAGTAAATATATTTTACTATAGTTTCTATTGGTATGGGCTGCGGGTTTTGAAGTCAGTTTGGCAGTCACCCTGCACTCAATTCCACATGCAATGCTGAATGAGTATAGGTGCTTTAAACGATAGTCCATAAATGCTTAAAAAACAACAATTACAAAATTAATAAACGCCTCATTTCATAAATACTGTTCACCTTAACTTATGTCCACCCAAACCCCCCCCCCCCCCCATCCCGAATACTTAAACACACTGAGAGCCTGCGCGTGCACGCACACACACATGTGCATGCACAAACAAGTTTTCAAAGTATAATTACCCAATATCACAAACAGCAAGCCCCGCTCAATGGTAACTTCTTGTAACAGGGCAACGATTATCTTTTTTTCCTGCTTTGTCGTTGTACTACCTGATTTTGGGCCAAAATACCTGAAACTGACCCAGGATTTTCCTGAAATGGGAACTTTGAGGTAGGCAGCCCTGTCGTTATGGAAAACACAGGGTTTTGTGTAGACAATTACAGGCTCTGAGCAAGAATAAAGAGAAGTAACAAGTGGTGCCTGAATTGTCTGCTGTGCAAATAAAGAACGATTTGTTCAAATGCATGCCTGTGTCATCTGGGTTGTTTGCCAAAAAGTTGTGTTGCTTGCTGTTTGGAGCCTAGCCTAGCATTCGGCAACTTTAGATTCCATAGACTAGCGCACAATTCATTATGCAGATCTACGTCAAGACTAGTTTAACATTGTAATAATGATCAGTTGCCGGCGGGGGGGGGAAGATTGTGACTCGTTTGCATCTGCGACGTTCCACGCCCAGACCGCTGGTGCCCCCGTGACGCGCACGTGTGCTGGCCGCCCATCCCACCCCGACACACGCTAGAGTAGACACATGCGCGTGCCAACAACGCATGTGTTGGTATGAAAGAAGGCCGCTGGTTGGTCACATGCGATCAGGTACAATAGATGGTTTCCAGGAGTAAAGTTCATTGTTGGAGAAAAATGAGTGACGGTCACATCTGCGGGGGCTCTTCACCCTGGAAGCGACCTCATTGAATCTGAGCTCGCTGTTTAAGTGCTCGTTGAATCTGGGTTATTTGTATTGATTTTAAAGAAGAAAAAAAAAGGTGGAATCCATCTCCTTTTCCTGAGGCCGAGTTCTTTTTTAATCCGAGCTCGATGAATCCGAGTTCCACTGTATTATTGTTATAAATACGTTTTGGGCTCTGCGTGAGAGAGTCGGCTTGATTTTATTTTTATTATAATGATTGTTATATATGTGTTATATTTTGTCATGCAGGAGGAGGCGGAGAGAGGCAGACTTGTGTTCACGGTATGTAAATCTCTGTCTGTATGTCTGTCTGCCTCTGTCTGTATGTTTATCTGTCTGTCTGTCAGTTTGTCACTCTCTCTCCCTCTCTCTCTCTTTCTCTCTCTTTCTCTCTCTCTCTCTCTCTCTCTCCCTCCCCCCTATCTCTCCCCCCCCCCTCTCTCTCTCTCTCTCTCTCTCTCTCTCTCTCTCTCTCTCTCTCTCTCTCTCTCTCTCTCTCTCTCTCTCTCTCTGTCTCTCTCTCTCTCTCTCTCTCTCTCTCTCTGTTGTGACATAGATGTTATGGTGTGTAGTGGCTGATGTGATGTAGGTGTTGTGTGGAGTGGCTGGTGTGTTGTAGGTGTTGTGTGGAGTGGCTGGTGTGTTGTAGGTGTTGTGTGGAGTGGCTGGTGTGATGTAGGTGTTGTGTGGAGTGGCTGGTGTGATGTAGGTGTTGTGCGGAGTGGCTGGTGTGATGTAGGTGCTGTGTGGAGTGGCTGGTGTGATGTAGGGGCTGTGTGGAGTGGCTGGTGTGATGTAGGTGTTGTGTGGAGTGGGTGGTGTGATGTAGGTGTTGTGTGGAGTGGCTGGTGTGATGTAGGTGTTGTATGGAGTGGCTGGTGTGGTGTAGGTGTTGTATGGAGTGGCTGGTGTGATGTAGGTGCTGTGTGGAGTGGCTGGTGTGATGTAGGGGCTGTGTGGAGTGGCTGGTGTGATGTAGGTGTTGTGTGGAGTGGGTGGTGTGATGTAGGTGTTGTGTGGAGTGGCTGGTGTGATGTAGGTGTTGTATGGAGTGGCTGGTGTGGTGTAGGTGTTGTATGGAGTGGCTGGTGTGATGTAGGTGCTGTGTGGAGTGGCTGGTGTGATGTAGGGGCTGTGTGGAGTGGCTGGTGTGATGTAGGTGTTGTGTGGAGTGGGTGGTGTGATGTAGGTGTTGTGTGGAGTGGCTGGTGTGATGTAGGTGTTGTGTGGAGTGGCTGGTGTGATGTAGGTGTTGTGTGGAGTGGCTGGTGTGGAGTAACTGGGCTTGGAACAGACTGCACGATGTAAGGAGGAAGTGCGGGACTTAAAATCTCTTTAATTATATTTCCACTGTCACTGTATTCTTCATCAGTGTTTCCATGGTCATTGTCTTGATCATCAATGTTTCACCATCTTTACATTCACCACTAATGCTTCGATTGTTCCAGCATTAATTTTTCCACTGCTGTTGTATTTTCCTTCAAATGTTTCAATCATTATCATTTTCACTTGACTCCCCTGTCTCCTTCTTTATGCTTGTGCTTTGTTTGGTACTGTTACAAAAAAGAGCCATAACTTGAACCTGATGGACGAGTTCTAGAAATACACACAATAAATGATCAACTTAAAGAGACTAATATTGCCAAGAAATGCAAATTAACTTGAATGAGATGGTGTTCTAGAATTGCAAGATAAAAAATTCCACTGAGAGGAAGATGTACAAGAAAAAAAATTCGCTGCTTCTCAGTCTTAGTATGTGGACAGAAAACTGAATAATCTATCAGGATAATCAATTATGTAAAATCATCATCTCTAAGCAAAATGTTAATTCATTTCTCCTTATCTTTTCAGGATGACCAGCTGAAGGAGATCATCGATAAAGCACGCGAAATTGAAGAACTGTATAGCCACTACTTTGACTTTGTCTTGGTGAACAGTGACCTAGACAGAGCCTATGCCGAGCTACTGGAAGAGATCAACCGCATTGACATGGAACCCCAGTGGGTGCCCGCAGCCTGGGTGGATAGTTTGTGAGGCCGTCTGGGACAAGTTTGTGAGGCCATCTGGTTGGATAGTTGAACAAGTTTATGAGGCCATCTGAGCGGATAGTAAGACAAGTTTGTGAGGCTGTCCGGTTTGGTAGTTGGACAGGTTGTAAGTCCTCTTTGGTGGACAGTTGGACAGGTTGTGAGGTCCCACCTGTGTGGATAACTGGACAGGTTGTGAGGTCCCACCTGGGTGAATAACTGAACAGGTTGTGAGGTCCCACCTGGGTGAACAGTTGGACAGGTTGTGAGGTCCCACTTGGGTGGACAGTTGGACAGGTTGTGAGGTTCCACCTGGGTGGATAACTGGACAGCCCCACGTGAGTGAATAACTGGACAGGTCCAAGGTGGACAGTTAGACAGGCTGTGAGGTCCTTCCAAGGTGGACAGTTGGACAGGTTGTGAGGTCCTTCCAAGGTGGACAGTTGGACAGGTTGTGAGGTCCTTCCAAGGTGGACAGTTGGACAGGTTGTGAGGTCCTTCCAAGGTGGACAGTTGGACAGGTTGTGAGGTCCTTCCAAGGTGGACAGTTGGACAGGTTGTGAGGCAGCCTAAGGCTGTTCAGGTGCAAGCTGTTCTTTAAAAAAAAAATAACTGTTGCATGGTTTATTTCAACATTTTAAAGTGTGCTTATGGTTCAGTCAGCCTCAGCAAATAGAGGGTGAAAAAACTGTTTTGGACACGTCAAGAAGGCGTATGTGCGGAGTGCAATGTGTGTGTTCTTTTGAGCGAAACTAGTGAGAGGGACACTGAATGTCAGAATCATCATGAGGAACAGTTTGATCTAGAACTCGTCTCTCTCTTACACACAACAGGGATATATGGTAGAAGGGACAGCTGACTAGGAGCTTGTGATTGGCCATCTCATTACTACACCAGACAGCATGTCAATTCTTATACTGATCTAAATTAAATTTGTCCTGCAGAAATTACAAAATGTCAACTTTGAAGCATGGAATATATTCAGTGTTTGTTGTTTTATGAGTTTGGAGCTGACATGCTCTAGTTACTTTTGAGAATTAGGAAATAGTTTGGAGCTCAAATTTTTCTAATCCATGAGAACTACTGCTGGACTCCTTAACTTTTTAGGGCAAAGGTGAGCTGTACAGTCTTTTAGATTTCTTTGTTTTGTTTTGGCGTGGTGGAAATTCCTCAGCCCAAACTGAATTGACCCATGTAATTTCAGGTTGGGCTTGAAAAAGTACCCAACTTGTACCAAGTGCTTTATATTCGACTGTTTTAGAATGTGTTTGTCTGGTGTTGGGGTTGTGAAAAGTGCTCTGGTCTATTTCTCTTTTGTAAGAGAACAGGTTCCTGTTTGAGATGTAGAAAGGTAGCTGTGAGTGTACAGCATTATAGTCATGTTTCCTTTCTCAGTTTTTTCTCAGAGGGGTGTTTTTCTCCATGGTCTTTCTGATGTCATTATGAATGCTAGAGCAGTACAGCGTCGTCTACATGAAGTGTCCAAGGCTAGTCTAGGGTTCTCATAGTTCAAATGTGGCAAATGACCATCACTTGTTCTAAATATGGGTTTTATCCTTTTAGTTTGATATTTTAAGAGATGGTCTTTTGGGCTTTCTAACGAATTTTGTTCATATTAAGATCTTTGGGGGGGGGTATTTTTGTGTGTGTTTGTTTGAATGCATGCATGTGGGGAGGGTGGCAGAGGGTTGCTTTCTCAGGCATTCCGATGTTTAGAAGCTGCTTTTGAAATTTGAGTTTTGCATCTAAACAGAAATGTATATAAATGCACACACGTACACATGTTTATGTTTGTGTGTGTGTGTGCGTGCGTGTACGTGCATGCATGTATGGGCACGCAATGACGTTATATACAGGTATGTATTATTATTATTACTCGTTCCTTTGGTTTTACTGTCATTCATGCTTGACTCTTTTATTTAATGTACATATGGTTAGTAGTGTTTTGATGCACTGACTGTGTTTGGGGGTAAAACATGTATAATCATTGCAACGAAGATATAGACGGAAGTATAAAACTTTTATAATCATCACTATGAGGCTGTTGATGGGAGCGTAAGGGAGGGAGTATAAAACATTTATATTCACTGCAATGAGATTGTTGATGGGAATGTAAAACATTTACAATCATCGCAATGAGCCTGTGATTTATAGAAGAGTGGGTGTGCAACAATGGTTATGAAGTGATTATGCTGTGTGGCAGGCGACATTGGTCAAGGGTTCCTCAGATCCTTTCTCTGTAAAAATGACTTCTGTGGATTTCTTTTCACACAAGTCTACAGAGTAAGTTTGCTATTATAATTCCCCCCCCCCTCCCCGCCCAATTTTTAAAAACTCTTCATGTGCATAGAGGATTTTCGTTCTGACCGAAGCCTCCCGGGGACTGATCCTATACAGCAGTAGGGTGGGTTACAAAAGTCTATATAACTTTCAATCTACTAGGCCCACATCAAAACTTTAGTTCGCGTGTATTTAATGAAGGCTAGTATAGCGAGCCAGTGTCAACGGCTCGCTGGTCAAACCCACTTCGCGCCGAGCTGCTCCCACCGGCTCACTGGGCATGAAGAGTTAAAGTACACATTTTTGTTTTGCTATTGTTCAGGATATTTCTTCTTCATTCATTTTAAATTGAAAGTACATGGAGGGTTAATTAGGTTTTGGGCTTTGTGATTGTTGATAGTTTTTCTTGTATGGTATGGAGTAGACTGGTGATGAAGGAACAGTTTGTTATAGCAGTTTCTCTCTCTCTCTCTCTCTCTCTCTCTCTCTCTCTCTCTCTCTCTCTCTCTCTCTCTCTCTCTCTCTCTCTCTCTCTCCCTCCCTCCCCCTCTTCCCTCCCCCTCTGTCTCTCTGTCTCTCTCCCTCTCTCCCTCTCTCCCCCACTCTCTCTCTCTCTCTTCCTCTCCCTCTCCCCCCATATCTCTCTCTCTCCTCCTCTCTCTCTCTCTCTCTCTCTCTCTGTCTCTCTCTCACCCCACCACCATCCTTCCTTCCCATCCCACCAGCACACACAGAGGGAACAAATAAATCTGTTGTATATGTTAAAACGTACTTCTTCCACTTAGCCAAAATCAAAACAGTATGTTGTGTTTTCTCAGCATTGCAGAGGAGTCTGCAATTCAGAATGCTCAAGGCTTGGTCTGTTGTCATATGATCCTTCCTATTTCTGTTTCTTTGATATGTATTGAATGCCAACATTGAAAGAGGAAGATTAGGGGGGGGTTAGCTACTTTATTGGCGTTACACAAAAGATCACTGGCTTTGTTTTTCTATTGTTCCAATTGAGATGGGAATATTTTGTCGTGTTTCTCATTTATCTTTGTTTTGTAATTGACACCTACAAATAAAATAACATACCGTATCTCATTGGACATTGCTGTGGTTCATGTCATTGTTAAAAGAGAAGTGTTCAGGTGGCATATGTGTCTTTTAAGATTGATGGGCCCAAGTATCCTTGAGCATTGGCATACTAGTATGACTGTTTCTTATTTCACTGATCTGAACAAAGAACAGCAATGTCACATGGCATTTTTTTCTTTCTCTAAGTTTTCCCACAGTAATGTAATTAGAAATGCTTTATCTGATCTGTATGTGATAATTGATTTGTATTTTCGGGGTTGATGGAATTACTTTCTTGTTTTGTCGTACTGTGGCGTTGTGTCTTTGGGGAAGGGAGCGGGTTGTGTTGCAGTTTGTTTGCCAAAATGGAAGAATTGATGGTTGGTTTTCAGCTACGTTACTGTAAATTTTATCACTGTCAGTTTCTACGCAACGGCTTTTTACAAATATGTACTGTATTCCATATCATTTGAGTAGCATAATGTTATCTGAAGCTTATGGACGGTCCCAGTGGTACTTAATCCAGCTGACCAGTTTTTAATCTGAAGAGAACACGTTGAGATTTGCTGGCTGGTCAGTCTGTAATCTGGTCTCATGCAAAGATGAAAGGTCACAATGAAAAGTCCCAATTCTCGACAGTGCAAGAAAAATAACTGAGTGTGGTCAAGTGGGGTATGTGGTCATGGTCTGCTCTGATCTCTTCCATCAGACCGAAGGGCTAGAACCCAAATGGCCGCTGGATCGGAAAAGTATCTCTTCCATAGTTGCACTCCAAGTGTCCAGATGACCACTGGCCTGTAGGTCACAAGATGTGAGTTTTATTTCCTAATGTGGAATTCTTAAAAATCTGGGATGTTGTGACCCATTCATGCCTGGTTGAAGAGGCCCGCCTCCTCAATGATATAACCTTCTAAATGGTCCAAATTTTTTGATGGAGGAGTATAACATTTCAATTTCAAATGTATATCCAAAGATTTCTCTAATCTTTGCTCCTTGTGGATGTGTCCCAGATAGGTATTAGCTCCTTGTGGGTTGCCTTGGATGAGATAGATCTTGGCTATGTGTGGGTGTGTCCCAGATGTTTGGGCCCAGTGCCAGACTGCCTTGTATAAGACTTTTGAATAGTAGCTTTTTAAAATTTCATGATGGAAAATATTTAAGTTGAAGTGAAAATTTAGGTTTGTGCCAGTGACTTGTACAGATTGAGGGGAGTTTTTTCATTTTGTTTTGTCCTTTATTGTGACGTGTGATGAAAAAAAATTACAGATTTAATTCTATTTAGTTTGGGTTTTTTTGTTTGAGTTTTTTTTAGAGGGGGGGGGGGGGGGGGGGGTGAGCATTGTTGTACAGTGGGTCTCCTATAAATAATATTGTTAGACTATTTATGATTTTTTAAGTACTTTTTTCCCAGCAAATGTCGTAAATGGCTACACAATGTAGTCAGTTGTTTTATAGACCATTTTTCTCCTGTTCCTGTGTGTCTGTGGCTCTCCGTTATGCAGTGGTGTTTATGATGACCTCTATTCTGGAGATTTTTGCAAAGTGTTTGTGGTCTCTCACACTGCGACATATAGTCTTGCCGTTGTACAGAATTTATGTGATGACCTTATTCTTCACTATTGTTATTTTCTTGTGTTTGTAATTTGTAGTGAAGTCAGGTGGTTGGTAGAAATGTGTCCATTCGACTCTACTATTCAACATTCACAATTTTTTTTGGCTATTTGAAGTTATGAAAGGTGGCAAAGCCATATTAAATGCTATGTGAGCTTTACAGATAAAGGATTTTTGTCTAATTTTTCTCAGCTCATCTTAAAATTTAGAAATCTAGAGCATATTATTATTGTGTCTAAAATCATTGAAATAAATACTGCAATACTTTGTACTTCATGATAATGAGATAAAGTAAAAAGTTAAACCAACAGTTATTATTTAACCTGCTTCAAAAAATTATTCACTACTATTTGATATTCACTAGTCTGCTAGTCAGTTCACAAGTGAAGTAGCTCAGTGTCCATGACTCTGGAATGTGAAAATGCAGTGGACGACTTTGCAAGAATTAACAGGAGGCAGATGCAGTGAGATCCCCTTTTGGAAGTTTGAAACATCATGAATGGTGATACGACATTGTATGGCGGCTTATAATATTGAGTCAGGGCCAATAATTGTGTTTTGAAAAAAAAAAAAGGAAAAAAAACACACCACCACATTCGCTACATCTGTTGGCACGATGTGTGGGTGGGTGCTGTAGGAGATGGCAGAGACAAGTGAAATGAAAAATGACTGACACAGAGCTGAGAATCACTGGCTTTGGGGGAATATTGCTGGATGAATAGCACTGTGAATGTTGAATAGCAGATGTTGATGGTGGACTTGTATACATACTAGAAAGAAACATTTTCGCACGGTATTTGAATAGCATGAATAGTGACTTCACTCTTCCAAGTGTCTATGAAGTTTTTTTTCCTCAAAATCATGCAGCTCTAGTAATTACATCACTTGTAGTGGTAGGTTCTTCTATTCTTTCCCCTCTGTTGTTTCTGTCTGTCTGTCGTACTTTTTCCTGCATTCAATTATGACTGTCACTGTATGGATGTGCTTATCCTACTCGGACAAAACAAATAAATGTTGAAAAGTGTAACTGCTGAGAAGTCAGTTGTGTGCTGTCCATGGGGAAATCATGATTGAACATAGATGAAAACAGACATTGAAGGTTAGAGTCACATGTGCTCATTTGCCTCTGGTCTTGTCAACGCCACTGCCAGTAGAACAGAAATCGGTTGTCAATGATCAGATATTGGACTGAGATAATATTGCTCAACTGCAGGTTCAAAGAAACCTTACCCCTAGATTATGTAAATTAATATCCAAGGGGAGGTAAAATTGTTCTGATCCATCAGTTTTTTAGGACAATTGACAGAGAGTTTTCGGAGTCTGCTCTGAGGGAGGTTGTGGAGAGGGGTACTGGTATGAGGGGTGGGGCAATGAAACTAACTACGCAAAAGCACAAAGTGCTGTCTGCCAACAGGACATGTCTACTGTGCACAAATAGGAAGGTAGGACTAGCTCATGACTCATTACATATCGTTTTCCTTGTTGGGTTTGTTTGTTTATTTACTTCATTCTGAATATGGAAGTCTGTATGGTGGAGGGGAGGGAGTGCCGAAGAACATGTGATACTCTACCCTGTGGTGCCTACTTGTCTTGTTTCTTTGTTGTGACTAATTATACAGAGAACTTTATTTTTTTCTCTTCAATGTTGTCACATAGGTCTTTGATGCTTCTCTGCCTACAGTTGTCATGCTTCCTCCTTTTTTCGCTAGTCTCCCCCCCCCCCTCTCTCTCTCTCTCTCTCTCTCTCTCTCTCTCTCTCTCTCTCTCTCTCTCTCTCTCTCTCTCTCTCTCTCTCTCTCTCACTCATGAACACACAAAACAAACACGCACACAAGGTGGTCACTTCAAGGAGGCTTTTTGCCATAGGTTGAAATTTATCCTAAGATGGGAAATGGGAAATGAAACACCTACAAAAACTTTGAAATTTGTCCCTTTT